TCATTAATTTGGGGCACTGTGCTAAACCACAGATTTCTAGAACTTACTCACTTTGTATCATTGAGACTTTATACCTCTCATTTTTCCCTCTAGCTGTTCCTGACAACTATCATTTAAACCCTCTGGTTCTATGAGTTGGACTGTTTTACATACTTCATGAAATGGAATCATGTAGTATTTGTCTTTCTATGTCTGATTTATTTCATTTAGCATAATGTCCTCCAGGCCCATCCATATGCTGTAAATAATAGGGTTGCTTGCTTCAGAGATAAAGAGTGTTCCATTGGTGCAGACTCATTTCCGAGCTTCCAGGAGGAGAGCTCTCTGTGCCAGCATCAGGGAGATGGACAGGAGTTTTGATGACTTTGAGAAAATGGGTACTGCAGGCCATTCTTGGCACATTTGCTTGAGCCCAGGTGAGTTTTGGAGCCACAGTGTTCTTTAAAATACTTTATTAAAAAATTTAACTATCAGTGAGAGAAAGAAAGGGAGAAAGAAAGAAAAGAAAAGAAAGAACTGCAATCTGTTAATGTGTATTGTGACTTTATGATTTACAACATATTTTAAACTATTTTGCAAAGATTCTCTTAGCCTGTTTGACTGTTATGTCACAGAACATCTCATTTCCTATAACAAATATCTGAGATAACCAGTTTATAAAGACAGAAGGTTGATTTTGGCTTGCAGTTCTGGAGGGTTCAGTTCAAATAGTTTGGTCCCACTGCTTTTGGTCTAACCCAACTGAGAGCATATGATGGGAAAAACACACTCTCTTTATAGCTGGGAGGGAGGAGAGGAAAGAGCTGGGGCTCTACCATGCTCCTCAAGGGATCTCTCCCAATGGTGAAGACACTGCATAGTCCCACCACATAGTCTACCACCTCCCAATCCCCCAAGTTAGAGAATAAGCCTTTTTAAAAAAGGCCTTTGATGGGCATTTATTCAAACCATAGCAACTACAGAAATCATTTTACTTTATTTTATTTGATTTCATTTTATTTTTGCAGAGTACCATGAAGCATAGCTCTGATTATCAGCTGTTTTGAAAGAGAGTATCAGTTCATGATTCTGTGGCCAGGAATGCCTTTGAGGAGGAGGTGGATGTCCCAGGGATCCTGGACCTTATGATTCACATGCATGTTTGTTACAGAGGCACACAGTCATACACACTGACAGAGACTGTATTTTTCTCTCCAGGAGAGACAGTCCGTTGCTTTGGTGGTTTGGTAAAATTTCCAAGGAAATTTTCAGAGTTAAGTAAGAGGAGTGATCATTCTTTGGAAAAAGAAACACAAACAGCCCTGCGTCAGCAACCCCCATGGAGAGCAACTTGCTCAATGTTTTAAGCACGTTTTAGAAGATGGTTTGGGGTTTTAAACTTGACATTGGAGAGAAAAGCACCAATCCGGGTTAAGAAGGGACAGATGTGAGACAAATGTTGGGCAGCTGAAAATCATAGATAGTTTTGACATGTTTTAGTATGTTTGACACAATTTCAATTCAAATTAAACTCGATATTATTTAGTATGTCTTTTATATAAAAATATGACAGACCATCAAAACTTTTAAAAAGCTTGCCTTGCAAATAGTTATGCTGAGGCAGACAAAAAGTTCTGGGTGACATTTACCTAGTGGTATAGAGCTTTGAGAGCAACCAAAGTGTGAGAGAATCTCACTTTGCTGATAGATTTTAAAGAGGAAAAATTCAAGTCTGGAAGATTTTCTTGAAATATAGGATTCTCAAAATAGTCTTACCAATAATTACAGTTCTTGCCAGCTTCTTTCATCACATGGATATTGTAGGCGGGGTGATTCAATGGAGATAAACACTGAATAAAATAGATAAAATAGATAAATATATCTATTTTAATAGATAGACTTCATTTTAATATTTCATTTCTTTTAATAGATAAACTAATAACAAAGAACTTCAAAGAAGATAAAATTTCTACTGTTTACATCAGAAAACTTCCCCCAAACCCATAAATAAATAAGCTATACAGTCTTTAAAGAATTTAAAGAAAGGAGCCAGGTACACGCCTATAATCTCAGCTACTTGGGAGGTTGAGGCTGGAGGACCATAAGTTAGAGGCCAGCTTGGGCAACGTAGTAAGACATTATTTCAAAATCAAAAATAGAAGACTGAGATATAGCTCAGAGGCAGAGTGCTTCCTTCCCATACTGGAGGCCCTGGTTGGAGCCCCAACACTACAAAACCAATTTTTAAAAAAGAGAATCAGTTGAATGAAGGAAATTAAAGCAAAAATTTTAAACATGAACCTCAAAAGCCCTGTTTTCCCCCCAGATCAATGACTTGGTACTTTCCCTACATAACTTTTACTGATTTTCAGAGGAGTGCTGGTAGTTTCATATTATTCCCAGTTTATTGCTATATAAAGCACTGAGTTTGGGGAAGGGAAAAAACTTTCTCAAGTCCCTATAATTACTGAGAATTAAATTAATGTTTAGCTTTGACTTACCTGTTCATCTCTGTTCAATACTTCTTTTTCTAATGTCCAAGCAACCCTCGGTGAAAATACATGGAAGCCAGAATATTTTGTTTCTGCATATCTATTTATTTAATCCAGAAAACACATAACACTTTCCAATACCAGTTTAAGTACCTTACAAACGTAGATCCTACTAACCATCTTATGCGGTGAGAGCAATTGGCATCTCCCTTTCACAGAAAAATAAACTCAGAAGTCACCTCGTTAATAAGTGGCTGGATAGAGATCCAAATCCAAAAAAGCAGGATCCAGAGACTGTTTTTGGCTTTCCTGCTACCTCGCTTTTTTGATCAGACTCCTGGAGAACTCAGGAAGTGCCACATGAAGGTGCAGAGCCAGATGTCCAGGTTTTACTGGGTATTTACTTGCCTAGTGTCAGACGCACTTAGGGCACTGCAGATTTTCAAAGCTTTCCCAAGGCTACCACGTCACAGAACATGAGGCCTCGATGTCTATATCTGATGGAGATCTCTTGACCCCGTACAAGCCACATGTGCTTTTCTCAGGGGTGGGCTAATTTCATTGGTCATGGTGAATCAAATCCCCACTGGCTTCTCTTTTGGGTAGACAGGAGTGGGGGTTGGTCCCACCCACAGTGCCAGGACCATCTTTTTGGCATGGGGTAACAAAGAAGGTCTCAGCTTGTGTCATTCCATCATTTGTAAGGCTCAGTCACAATAAGGCCAAAGATGTTCCAGAAGAAAACTAAAACATTTTACGAGTAACCCTCACCACTAATATACACACACACACATACACACACACACACACACACACACACACACACACACATACACACATACACACACCCCACAGCTGAGTCAAGGTCTGCATGGATAAACATCTGTGCAGAGGCATAATGGGGCACTGCTGTGCTTGGAACAAGGCCTGAGAACTCTCAAGAAATGGTTTTAGCAGAGTTGGGACCACAACAGGACCTATAAATAAGTATGACACTGAAAAGCAGGGGTGGACATGGAACTTGGGTAGAGCACGTTTGAACAACAGTTTATCGATGGACACAGTACCTTAAAAAACAGAAAATTTCACTGTGTATATTTGAGGTTTGCAGCTTAATGTTATGAGACAAATATATGCTTACGAGAGGGAAGTCAATTAACATGTCTCTCATCTCAGGATTACCTTACAGTGACAGTAGCAGGTAAAAGTTGTTTACTTAACAGAGGTCCGTAATACACATGTATTACCCTAGTCTTTATGTTCTTTACTAGGTGTCTAGATTTGTTCATCCTGTGTATCTGCTATTTTGTATCTTCTGATGTAGGTCAAAAAAGACAAAGCACTTCTTAATATTAAAGTATTCTCACCCAATTCCCTTTCCTCTAATTGGATCACAGCATAAATAATGTTTTCTGTTCCACCTAAACACAAATTATACAAAGTACATATAAATGATAGGAAAACATACAGGCAAATTCTTCTAAATCACGAAGTAGATGATTTTACTTTGACTTCTTTTAACTGGTTATTTTCTTTCATACAAAATATAATAATAAAAAGTTCCTTTGACTTACTTCTATTTTCCATTGGTTTCCTAACTTTGCAAAGAATTTCCATTCATTTCTTTCTAACCTTTTCTCCTCAGAAAAGCCTAAGCCAGGAGATTTAGTTGGACTGAATTTAATCAGTTCCTAAAAAGACTTGTGAAGACTTTGGCAAAAACAAACATTTAATTTAATTCAAGGAATATTATTTAAAATATATCTTCCTCAGATGGGAACCTAAACAGGTAGCAGATCTGCTTGTATCTGGGATTTTCCAAGTGAGATCTTGGAAAATTTAGTTTTGTGGCCTGAATGTTTAAACATGTTCAGCTTGGGGAAGGCGCCTGCTGGCCCACCTTGGAGTGTGGGAAGAAAGGAAAACGTTGATCTGTAAGGGATGCTGAAGTTTTGCTCAAGAAACAAAGACCACAGCGCTGAGACTGTAACTGGTGCTCAGCCTTCCCAGATGTGGAACCATGTGTTGGCATAAATTTCTCCAGACTTGGTCCAAGTGCAGGTGTGGCAGGCCCTGCTGCCCAAGGCACACTGGGGTGGCACTGCACTCCCAGCATGGGTCTCCGGTCTTGTACTAGGCTGGGCCAGCTCTCCAGGGAGAAGGCAAACACACACCTGCAGTTCTGGCTGCTTTGGAACAAACGAGTTAAAAGTGCAAGAAACAGAGGCATAAAAGGACCCAGGAGAGGAAAATCGCCCTATGCCTTAAGCTTTGTTTCAAGTTACTGAACACTGTTTTCAACCTGGTCCATATATATGCATGGCTATACGACATCTATGATCATAATGTAATGGTTGATGATATGCCCTTAAGTACCTTGTAATTTAATTTGCTGTTCTCTTGTATTGGAAATGGAGTCCTTTTGGGTTGTTTAATGTAACAAATGTAATTAGTATTTCCATGGACTTGCCTTCAAAACATTGTGTGGTGTTTCCTATTTTCCTGAGTGTCTCCTTCACGTATTTACAGGACTCATTGGTACACTTTCTCCTTCGGCCCTTTCACTACATCATGGCCTGGGAACCCATTAACAAGCAAGACAAAGAAAGAAAAGAAAATGAAAAAGAAGAAAAGAAGGAAAGAAAAGAAAAAGGAAGAACTTAAAAATGTACATTCAATGGAATCAGTACACAAGTCTTTAAAAATATCAAAATAACTTTTTGGAATGCACTAAATCAAAAACAGAGACAAAACTGTACCACAATCTTAACAATATATTAATTTCATTACTATATATATCAAAATAAGACCTTTGTGCTTTTTGTCCAATCTTACTGCATTTCCAGAGATAAAACAACATGGGAAACATAAATGGTCCATTCTGTGCCAGGTAGTTTTGTGTTTGATGCGATTTATTAATTCATTAAACCCTCGGGAAAACACTATGAGAAAGCAACAACTACGGGATTTTTTTGTTTGTTTCGCAAATGAGAAACTTGAGCACTGGAGAGGTTAAGCAAGCTGCCCAAGGTCACCAGTGCATTCCTGACCCCTCCCGCAACTGCAGAGGTGTCTCTCCACAGACATCAGATGTCCTACCAGTCCCTAGGCATGAAGTGGCGCTTCCCGGTGCCAGCCCCTGAAGGCCTGCTCACAGCTGTCATCCTGGGATGTCCCTTCACCCTTGTTCTGAGCACAGCCTTCACCTTTTTGTTGGCCCCCCTCCTGCCTTCACTTCAATTTCTTTCTTGATTTACTGTCTCATTTTGCAGAAGGACCTCTGTGAAAGGGTACAGAAGCAGTAAGTTTCTTGGAGACCTTGGATTCTGAAAACGTCTGTGATTTTTTTCCCCCCTTTTCTTTGTTTATCGCAGGTGCTCAGTGAAGAATCCTACACTGACAATCATTTTCCTTCAGGATTTTTATGGAAGTTTTCAGCTGTCTTCCAGCTTCTATGTTGAGAAAGCTGATACCATTCTGATTCTTAATCCTTTGAATTAAACCTACTTTTGCTTTCTAGAAGTTTTTAGAGTGTTTCTTCTATCTCCTACTCCCTTAGGTTGGGTTCCCTAGAGATAGACTAAGGCAGGGATTTGACAGATGTGATTAACTGAAGGACAACTCTGAGGATAAGGAAAGCTAGCAAAGTATCACGGGCCCTGGAAAGAGGTGAAGAAGTGCTCTCATGGGGACTCACGTCCCTCGGCACTGAGGGGTGCTGCGGAGAGCAAACGTACCCCAGACTCAGTCCCTCTTGAAGGCAAGGTGACTGACATTTTCAACTTTCCAGTTTGTTTGTTTATCTATCAGCTGTTGAGTTTAATCAGTCATTGGTGTGAACTGTCTTTTGCCAGGCAGAGTGGTGGGTAGAAGTTTCTGGAAGATTTAGCTTTTGCTTCTTTCAATTCTCCCTCAGAATGGAATTCTCAGATGTCGCGGTCGCTTCTGGCCGGCGGAAGGACACACGACAAAGTCTGGGAGTGGACAACCTTTTCTTTTTATTCTTCTTCTCCGTACAGCCTGCCCTGGGTTCTCCCAGCTGAAGCCTCCTTTGGTCCGCTCTCCGCGGCTCCTCTTGTGCTTCAGTCTGCCCCGAAGCCTCTATCGGTCCGCTCTCTGCGGCTCCTTCTGGGCTTCTACTTCCGGGCTTCTACCTGGCTTCTTCTTCCGCCCAGGGGTGGCACCGGTATATATACGGGTACAGTGTCCAATCATGTTAAAGTAAGCAAGGCAAGCTGATTGGCTAACATCATCAGTTGCCAGGCAGACTATATTGTTGAGCGGGTTGTTTACGCGGTAAGCAGGAAACTAACATATTCGATGGGAGGGGTAATCTACCTCAGGCTTCACTCTTTACTACAGGCCTCACGTCCGCCAAGTGAGGCGACCGGGCTCGGGGCTGCGGCTCCCAACATCTCCCCCTTTTTTATTTTTTATGAATGTGCGCATCGTAGCCCTTCCTGGACTGGGTGCAGAGGCTTATGCCCTATGCGTAGGCCCACCGTAGGTCCTTGGCTTAGACCCTGGTCGGCCGTCCCATGGTCTGCCAAGGCCCTGAGGCCCTCGTCCTTTTTCTAGGGCCAGGCACAAACTGGACGGAACCTGGATGCACACAAGCTTGCACTCATTTCCTCTCCGTAAAGAAATCCCCTCGGAGAGAAATTTAGACCTGGGCAGCATCTAACAGTCCAGCGGCTTACGTGCAGGATGGGGTAGGGCCTGGCTTAGGTCGAGTCATGCTGGGGAGGCACGCTCTTACCCGTCATTGACTCATCTACCCTGCTATATCATAATTTTTTAGAGGAGGAGTGTGGGAAGCTCACCGTCCCTAGACTCGGTCGTAGGCTAGGCGAGCGAGCCATGCATATGCCTGAGGATCTTCTTGTCCATTTCGGGCTACCGCTATTTCTATTCATCTTGTTGGTTGGTCTGTGATGGATCTCCAGTAGGGCAGGTCTGATCTTCAGTCGAGGGCTTTGTTGCCCGTGTCAGTCTCTCCGGTATCCACAGTGGTTCTCGTCCCGGTTCCTGTGGGAAAACACAAACCGCGCCTCGGTTCCAGCTGACCACTGGATCCGGGCCCATCCATTGTCCTGTCAGGACATCTTTCCACTTCACCCACCCTTTATGGTTGGGGGAAGGGTTGCAGTGCTCCACAGCTGGGGAGCGATTATCATTATTTAAATTTAAAAAATTGTGTGTGAATAGTGCCATGGATAATCGTGCCTTTGGGGCCAGGCCTTGGCCTACTCCCCCTTTTTGTTTTTGTAAAATTTCTTTGAGGCTTCTATGAGCCCTCTCAATGATTCCTTGACCTTGGGGATTGTATGGGATACCATGTTTTAATTGAACCTCCATCATTTTGCAGAACTCATTGAAAGCTTTGCCTATATAGGCTGGTCCATTATCAGTTTTTAATATCTTTGGTTTGCCCCATGCGGCCCAAGCCGCCAGGCAATGATTGATCACATTAGACACTTTTTCACCTGTTTCTGCTGTTGCAAATATGACGCGAGAACAGGTGTCTGTGGAAACATGAACATATTTAAGAGTCCCAAACTCCTGTATATGTGTGATGTCCATCTGCCAAACATCACCAGGGATCAAACCTCGAGGGTTTACTCCCATCGGTATGGCAGGTTTATATGTGGCACAGGAGTCACATAGTCGCACGATATCTCGTGCATCTGCTCTGGAAACATGGAAATGGTTTGCTAGTGTCCTGGCATTGACATGAAACTTATCATGGAAGGCACGGGCTCGCTCGATTGGTGTTAGTAAGGTAAAAATCCATAACGGGCGAGTGGCAGTGTCAGCAGCCGCATTTCCCTGTGCCATAGGCCCTGGCAGGGATGTATGTGCTCTTATGTGGGTGGTGAAGACCTTATGGTGCCTGTTCTGAAGCAATGTCTGGATAGACAGGAACAGCCCAGCCACTGTGGAAGTGGATCTAATTAAACCGGCAGTCTCAAGCACTTGCATAGCATTGACCACATACCTAGAATCGGAGACAATGTTAATGTGTCCTAATCTAAGTTGTGTACTGACTATTTTTGACAAGGCTAATAGCTTCTCCTTAGGCAGGGGCCACTGAGGTACCCAAACCGGATCATTTGATCTCCAGGTGATTTTGATCGAAGTGGGTAGGAGAGCTTCTTCAGCGGCCCCTAAGAAAAACCCAATCCTTGCCTACCTTTTTTGTTCTCTACTGGTATTGGGGATGTCCGACCCTGCAGGGCATTGCCCAAGCCTTTGCCGGGGGTATATCCCTGGTTCCTGAGTATATCCTTAGCCTGGGGGGAGCAGTTTGACGTAAGCGTGACATCCATCTGAGTGAGGATGTCCCTTCCCCATAGAGACACTGGCAACTGCAACACAAACGGTTGGAAATGGCCCTGATGACCCTCCTCATCGCACCAGAGCAGGGTTGAAGCACTAACCTGAGGAGCTGACACCATCCCCAGGCCCTGCAGCGTGTTATCTGCAGTGTTGGTGGGCCAGTTGGAAGGCCAATCCTTTCTGGAGATAATGGAACGGTCAGCTCCTGTGTCTAGGAGCCCTGTTATATTTTTGCCATTGACCTTAAGTGAGAGCATAGGCCTTTTACCAAGTGTCATATGGAGTCCCTCAAAGACTTCCCCTGAGGAACCGAAACCTTGACTTTCTCTAATTTTCTGCTTTGAGGGAAATCTCTTGTGGAGACTGGGGAGCAGCAAGAGCTGCGCTATCTTGTCTCCTTTATTGATTACCATAGTACCCACAAGAGATTGAACCATAATTTTAATATGTCCTGTGTAGTCTGAGTCTATGACCCCCGGGACTACTGTGAGACCCCGAAGGGCCGTGGAGGATCTCCCGATCACCAGACCCACGGAATTTTTGGGTAACGGTCCCTTAAAAGTGGTTTCAACCACTTGAACACCCATATCAGGCACTAATATAAGTCCTGAGGCGACACTGAGGTCCACACCTGCTGACCCAGGGGTGGCCCTTGTTGAAGGCTGCCACCCTGAGCTGTCCTGTCTCTGGGGCGGGGGCCCGCCTGTGAAGGGGGCCCCCTCTGGCCGTTTTTTGGCTCTCTAGCATCTTGTCCACAAATACGGTTGCCCTGAGCATCAAAAACTGACCTACACTCCTCAGCTCTGTGTGATCCCTTCTTGCATCGCCCACAAACATATGGCTCTTCATTCCTAGGACGAGGCCTAGCATCTGCATTGTTTGGGCAGTGACGTTTAATGTGTCCTGGCTCCCCGCAGGCAAAACACCCTTTAGCCTTACATTCCCCTCCTGACCCGCGAGGTCCCCTCTGCTGTACAGCCGCGGCCAGGAGAGCAGCCACTCCCGAGTTAGAGAGCGGCCCCCCTATCTCTCTGCATATCCTAATCCAGGCATTGAGGTCCTTGTTCTTATGAGGAGCTATCGCTGCCTTGCACTCCTTTGTACACTGTTCGAAAATCAGCTGCCTTACCAGCGGTCGAGCCACTCCCGGATCAGAAAATATCTTATCGGCAGCATCTTGCATTCGGGCCACAAAGTCAACAAATGGCTCTGTGGTACCCTGAATTATTTTTGAAAGACACAAGGAGGCTGTTCCGGCACCACTTACTTGCTTCCAGGCGCGGAGCCCTATGGCATTGATTTGTTCATAGACAGCGCCGGGGAACTGCGTCTGATCATCAGCGTGCCGACCTTCTCCCATAAGCATTTCTTTGTTCCACCCCCGGTTTCCTCGATTGGCGTTTTTCTCAGCCTGCTCTGCAGAGAACTCTGCATACCAGGCTCGCCAATCCAGGTAACTACCCGAGGGCAGACACGCCTTTGCTAGCTGAATCCAGTCCGCGGGGGTGAGGGGCCCAGAAGACAGATTCTCCAGCATGGCAATGGTGTAAGGCGCAGTCGGCCCAAAGGTTGTAACTGCATTTTTAAGTTCTCTAATCTGCTTTATCTCAAAAGGCTCCCATACATTGCGTCCCTGGCCCATAGCTACTTGTACAGGAAATATCTCGTAGGGGTCACTATCTATCCCAGGTGGATGTACCTCATGAGACAAGCGTCCCCCCTGCCAAAGCCGCCTGTGAAAATACCGACCCGCCGGCGGCGGAGCATAAGACGGCGGCCGTGATTGGGCGGAAAATGGGGGCCCGTGCATCACTTCCTGTTCTGGCGAAAGGGGGGGGGGCTCCCAGGCGGCCGCCTCGTGGCGAGGAATCGCCTCCGGAAACGGCCCCCGAGGTGGGGCGGAAGGCTTTGCCTCCCTCTCGCGCCGGGGCGCACTCAGGAGCTCTCTACTCCTCCGCAGACCAGGTTGAGCAGAGCGCAATTCGCGGGGCAACGCTGGAAAAGAACCCTGCGACTCCTTATTGAGCGACTTAGGCTCCTGACAGCTGGTCTCTTTGGCCTCCCTGCCATTCAACTTTCCCTCGTCCTTGGAGTCAGACGACTCCGAGGCTAGAGCCCCGTCCTCCTCCTTAGCATCCTTGTTCCCCTTGACGGACACCTCTCGGGAGCTCCCTGACTGGGCCTGCTCAGATACCCTGCGTACTTTTGTAAGCTCTTGAGAGCTTTCTCCACAACCACCCTCGCTCTTAGTGCCGCTACCTAGCATGTTTCCCATTTTTTAATATGTTACTCACCGCGTGAGGCCCAAGGAATCCGCCACTTACGCGTGAGCCTGAGGGGAGTCTAAAAGCCCTGTAGGTGCGCGCCACCCAGAGCCCAGGCTTATCCCCAACTCACCTGTCTCGCAGCTCTGTACTGGAGCGTTGTCCACTTCACGTCTCGGGGGTGATCAGTCCCCATACGGGCCACCAAATGTCGCGGTCGCTTCTGGCCGGCGGAAGGACACACGACAAAGTCTGGGAGTGGACAACCTTTTCTTTTTATTCTTCTTCTCCGTACAGCCTGCCCTGGGTTCTCCCAGCTGAAGCCTCCTTTGGTCCGCTCTCCGCGGCTCCTCTTGTGCTTCAGTCTGCCCCGAAGCCTCTATCGGTCCGCTCTCTGCGGCTCCTTCTGGGCTTCTACTTCCGGGCTTCTACCTGGCTTCTTCTTCCGCCCAGGGGTGGCACCGGTATATATACGGGTACAGTGTCCAATCATGTTAAAGTAAGCAAGGCAAGCTGATTGGCTAACATCATCAGTTGCCAGGCAGACTATATTGTTGAGCGGGTTGTTTACGCGGTAAGCAGGAAACTAACATATTCGATGGGAGGGGTAATCTACCTCAGGCTTCACTCTTTACTACAGGCCTCACGTCCGCCAAGTGAGGCGACCGGGCTCGGGGCTGCGGCTCCCAACACTCAGAGACAGGCGCCCCTTTGTTTTGAATGAATTTCCCACAGGAGCACGTGTGGGAAACTTAATTCTCACATTCGTGTGTTAATGGAGGTAGGAACGTTGGTGGGAGGAATTTGGATTAGATGAGGCCCTGAGTGGGCCCCTATGACGACTTTGAGAAGAGGCAGAGACACCCAAGCTAGCCCGCCTGCTCTGCCTCGCAGGTGATTCCACAGCAAGAAGGTGCCCGCCAGGTAATGAGCAGACACTGGTGCTGTGGTCTTGGACTGTCCAGTCTCCGGAACTCAAAGTCTTAAGTCTTCACTCTTCATCAGTGACACAGTTTCAGCAGGAAGTAGACCAAGGCAGCAGCTGACACTCCCAACAGGAAGATGCTTTGGCCTGGCACAGGGGACCTGGACAAGACACGGAGAGCCTCAGCAGATGTGCTCTGAAAAGTCACTTTGCTCGTCTTCAGTCTGCAAGCTCATATATTTCAGTCCTGGGACACTTCATACAGTCATTCTGGAGATGCCATTCTCTTCTCCGGAATTTCTTTTATGCAGCTATTGGAGCCCCCAGACTTGTCCTCTAATATATTTTTGTCCTTTCCTGTATTTTCTCTTTTTTAAGTTGTTACCTCTTCCTTTTGAGCTTTTAAAAAGTTTCTGATACCCTACTTTTAATTTCAAAGTTCTTTTCTTTACTTTGAATTTGCTTTATTGTAGTAGTTTTTGGCTCGTATTTCATGGCTGTTATCTTTTTTTTCTGACGATATTAGTAATATTTTTTCTTTCCAGTTTTTCTTCCCTTTCATAATCTGTTGCCTCTGCTCATTGGTTCCCCCCAATCTTTTGAGTTAAGCTTTTTCCTGAATATGTCTGTTTACTTTGTGTGCTCATTTTTAATAGTGGGGCCCTCAGATTTTGATGGGAAATGGAGTCAATGGGGTTATTGACCACGAGCTTCATTGTAGGGTGAGCTGCATGTGCAGTGTGGGTTCAGGGAGGAGAACACTAAGACTGTTAGGTCTTGTGAATTTACCAGATTCCATGGAGAAATCTGCTAACCTTCTGCGTGGGGCTATCAGCCTGATTCCAGCACTTGGGAGCCGAGTCAAGGGAGATAACAGACTCTTTCCACATTGGGAAGCATTCATTTAGCCCATTTATTTTCATGACATCACCTCCATACTATCGTGCTTGCTGTCTTCCAGTCCAGGGACTATAATTTAATTTTCCCAGTGAGCAATGCTCTGTCTTGCTTTAGTGTGGAAGAATGCTTGCCATTTGGCCCCACAAGATCAGAGAAGGTATGGGAGGGATCTTAACTGCTTCTTAAATACACATTTGCTCCTGACCGCCTGTTTTAGCCTTCTTCTCTCCTAGCTTGTGGACATGCTTACTGTCTCCAATTCATGGAGTTTTTATGGATTCTTCACTGCAAATTATATCTCCAATTACTGAATTTATGATTCAACTTTCTTGCACTTACTAATCAGTAATTACTCATCTCCCCATTTCCACAATTTTGTAGCTATCATCTCCTGTTTGGAATTCTTTGTTCTTATATGTTTATGCCTTTTTAAAGAACCCAATTCCTATTATTTTAGTGGAATTTCAGGAGGCAGTAAAAATATACAGGCTTGTGCTCAACCTAGCATCTTTAATTGCAAACTCTGTAGAATTTTATAGTATTGCTTTTAAATGGAAAACAAATATTCCCTGAAACTCTGCAGCATCTTATTCAATTTAATGATGCTGAGCTTACCTCTTTTTTTTTTTAATGGTAAAGACTGTCCTCACAGCCTAAACCTCCTCCCTAGTATGAGTCATATTATTTAAGTAATAATAAGTTTCTGTCAAATATTTCTGCATTGTATATCAAAATTATATTAGATTTTCAAAGGTGTATGCAGTTGGAGAAGAAAAACATATACAATAGGAAATTATTAAAGAATCAGTAATTCACAGATTCTGCTGCCATGTTTAAATAACATGTCCAAAACTCCATTAAGATTTCATTAATTCATCTTCTTTTTATTTACTTGTTTATTTATATTTTATGGGAAAAGGCAAGGCAAAATTTCATAACAAAACAATAGGAAAATAACAAGAGTTAATACACTGTATGTTGTTGTTTAAAGTAGTTATTCAGAGTACAAATATGGGCATTAAAATTTCTCTAATCAATATTAGCACATTTTCAATGCGCTAGGAGACACTAATTCACTAATTCATATTTTAACTATAAATTCTCTTAATCCACACTTTATTAGAAGTGTTTTCACCTGATACTTCTAAATCTTGATCAAATGTCAAGGAAATGATAGGAGCTACAATGTCAGAAATATCTGTAATGGAGCAGAGTAACGCTATCCAGTCACCCCATCATACAAAGGGCCTTGAAAAACGTTAGTGCCTGTCATCGGAAGAAAGAAAATTCAAAATCCAGACCCACAAAGACAGTGCACTAGTTCACACTGTTCGTACTCCACCCACTTCTCCTGGACACGCACCTCTGCACTGCTGCTTGCTCGGGGCATCTCCATTCCTGAGGCCCTGTCACCCACCTGCTGGCTTATGCTAAGCAGGCCCATAGAGGAGGCTGGAAACACCAGAGACAAACCCTTCGGAATCACCCTTCCTTTGGTGACAGATGGGAGATGTTATTGGTGGCTAATATCTTCAGCTTTCTTCAGTTGGGATAACTCCAAGGGACATTACATATTGTCTCCCAGGGTGCCTGGCAGAACTGTGTCCTGGCTGCTCAGTGGTGACCTGCTCAGCAATGCACTCTTTATTGACTTCCTTATCTTTTGTGCTTCAGTTCCTACAGTAGAAAGGAAAAACTCAAAGTGGGGTTTTCCCTCATCATCCTCTTTTTTAACATAGACTTCTGTGATCTTGTTAATCAAAAAGTGTGTAATTTTTTCCAACAGCAGCCAATCGATTCTGCAGCACATTTCAGCTCTGGGTCACCTGATTAAATCCTGACACCATCTACTTGGAAATGCCATCAGCTCCCACAGATTGAAGAGTTGGTCCCACAGGCTGCCCCAAAGTAAGCCAATTGCAAGCCCTGGGCTACTTTACCTGCACTTCTGACTGATGAACTGTAAATTAAGAACTGTATCATTCATTGGATTCTATTAATTTACTATGGTGGCGCAGAGGACTCAAGGATACATACTTATCAGTTTATCATCAAGGCTACTGCAAAGGCTACAGATGAAGAGGCTACAGATGCAGGGTGCCTACATCGACCTGTGGTGAGTGAGGGGAGTGGAGCCATTCCATAAATAAGGGGGCTCCGGCAGATGACATTCTGGGACCGGGCAGGACTGGCACGTATAAGGGGCAGCAGTGACTTCAGTCAATTGTTCCCTTCTTGAATGGTATTGGTGGGGTGAGCTAGGGTGAAGATGGGAGAAGGAGTACAGAGCTCCCGTGGCCTCTCCAGGCTCACCACCCTCTGGGAACCATCATATGTCCAGTTATGGTGAGCCCACCAAACCCTGCCCTTTGGGATTTGCATGGAGGTTTCATTATGTGGGCATTATTTATTAAATCACTGGCTATTGGTGATCAACTTACCCTTCAGCCCCTTTTCCTTTCTCAGAGATCGAAGGTTGAGGTGAAATTTCCAACCATCTAATCCTGCTTTGATCTTTTCTATGATCATTCTCTACCTTAGAGCTACCTAGAGGCTGTCAACTATCAGTCAGCTCAATAAGATATGAAAACAAGCAAAAACACTCTTCATTGTAAACATTTGAAGGCTTTCAGAAGTTGCACACCAGGAAACGAGGTGGGGACCAAATATATGTTTCACAATATCACACCCCTTCACTTCTTTACTGGCAGTCTCAAGCGCAACTCCTACATAAACAACTTACATGTATTTTCTTGATTCTGGTAAAATCCAAACTAAGATATTCCCAAACAAATAACACATATCACAGAAATCATGCTGTTACTCTGAACTCCACAAGAGTAAAATGAACTCAAGGAATATGCAGGAAGATCACTATCTCAGACACAGACTTCTGATTCCTGGGACAACCTGATATGTGACCATGCTTACACGAGGGGACCAGAACAATAGAAAAGACCAAAAAGGCAATTTAGTTCAGAGGGCAATTATTGGATCCATTCATTCTAGGGAATCCTAAACAAGGATCACCTCAATCCCCAGTTCATATACTGCAGAATGCAACAGATCCAAAGAGACCCAAACGTCTGTGTTCAAGTGCCTGCTTTAGGTTGGCTCCTGTAAGAGAAAAGAAGAAAGGTAACGTTGAGAAATATTTCCAAGCCTTTAAGCCAGTCCTTACACTGCTGTCTCTTTGAATTTCCAAAAGATTTTTTTACTTAGTTTCTAACTTTCCTGCATGTCTTATTTTCTCTGAATAGAAGTCTTTATGTCTCATTCTCTGTTGAGTGAGCATCTCTAGACCCCCGCCATGGGCCCAGGCGACCCCGGTAAACAGTTTTACAGCACATGTCCACTCTTAGTCACATAAACCTGATTAGAGACTCAGCCCCCGGGGAAACAAAGCCAGGCTGAGAGGCAGTGTGAAAGTTCAGCTTACTGCCAGAAGGAGAGCTGTTCATGTGTGGCCTGTTGGGCACAGGCGCTCAACATACCATACCCCACCCGGGACTAAGGACCACGCCAGCTTCCGCAATGCGCTATGTCCCTCTTTAAATTGGCCAACCCGTGCGCACTTCGTGCTCACTCCGTACTCTGTGGCAACTCCTGATTGGCCACAGCTGGATATAGTAGCCGGAGCCTTCGTCCTATTCCCGCCCTGCTTCCTCGTGGCAGCCTGTGATTGGTCACGGCCAAATATATAAACCAGAGCCCGCGTAAATAAAGCAGCAGTTAACTGTCGCCCACAAGAGCGTCTCCTGTCTCATTGGGGAGCTGCGCCAGTCAGCAGCCCAGCAAAGCTGTCCTTCTGAGGCTGCGTGAACACCAGGCTGCTGGCCGCTCCCTTCTCTCCCAACACAGAAGTGCTTTCAGACTGCTGAACATTAGCAAGGGACGGTAACCCGGCAGTTACTAAACCAAAAAATAGCAGCCAGTCTAGGCAGTCACAGAGGCCAGAAACGGAACGTGGGAGCAAAAAGCAATTGGGGCACTGGCTGGGTGAGTGTGAAAGGGAGAGACTGCTTAAATAGATGCTAGCCCTCGGTTATGTGAGCTAAGGCACTTATCTATGCCCTGTTAGGCTCAGTTGCTTCAATAAGATGAGGGTAACATTTTTAAAAGGATTCTTTTGGGGAATTAACTAGGTATATACACAGTAAAATATCAGATCATAAGGCAATGTGTTGGTTATTTTTGTCTTGTTGCTATACTGCATTACATAAAAACAGCATTTCCTAGCTTCTTGACTTAATTTGAATCACGGTAGATTAGTCAATACAAAGTGATTATCATTAGATTTTTTTTTTGTCTTTTCCCTTTTTAACGGTACCAGGGATCACACTCATGGTAACCATTGTTGATTGACTATTATCTTGTTTTGAAATCATGTATCATTTTCACTGTTTTGTTCTGATTGACTTTATTCTGTTTTATTTTGTTTGGTTTTATCTCTTAAAAATAAAAAATTTTAAAAATTATCATTATAACTGGGCATGATGGCACATATTTATAATCCCATCTTCTTAGGAGACTGAGCCATGAGGATTGCAAGTTGGATGTCAATCTGGGGAACTTAGAGAGACCCTGTCTAGAAATAAAAAAGTAAAGAGATGTAGGGGTATGGTCTGATGGTAGACTACTTCCCTAGCATATGTGAGGACCTGGGTACAAACCCCAGAACTAAAAAACAAACTATAACTGTTTATTTATGACTTCAGACCTTATTTTCTGTCATACACTATGTTCTTTCATCATCATCTCATTTAATTTTTAAGATAGATTTGTAATGTAAGTCATTTTTCCTGATTTACAGAAGAGAATACTGAAGTTCATAGAACTGAAATTACTATGAGAAAGCCTACAACAAACATGAGACAGAGCTGAGATTAAAACCCAGGTCTGTCCAGCTCTATAACCTGTGCATCATGGTAAATGTGTGACTGAAGTTGGTGGGGGGGGCAGGGCAGACAAACAGAGGGCAGTGGAGGAGAATAGAGAAAGCACTGGGCAAGGGGCACCTGAAAGGCCAAACTGCACCCTGAGAAAGAGCCCAAGTAATGTGTTTGGCCAAGAACTTCCCTCCTGCACAAAGGGTCAAGTTGTGAGATGGGTTCCATCAAGGGAAAAACTTTGAAAGTGGTCTAAGCAGAGTGGGGTCAATTGTGTTACTGAACACAGAGGCAGAGGGGGAGTGGTTCCAGCTGGCTTGGCCCCTGGACTCTGCCACGAAGGAGTCGGCTTTCTCACATCCTTCCATTCTGCTCTTCCCAGGATGTCTCAACCTTGCCTGTTGCCAATTGGCGCCATGGCTCAGTAGTTCTTAGCATTTCAGGTAGAAAAACCACTCTGGGAAAATAAGATAATTTCCACCCTTGGACTTGTGTCTACTTAGTGCAGAGGAAACCCTTCCAAAACCCAAAAAGGCTACTATTCCAGGTCCTATTTGTTAGGATTGGATGACATGACCACATCCCAGCAATCCATGGCAGGGAAAAGCAATGCGAGGCATCATCCAGCATCTGCTTGGAGCGATTCCAGGACTTCTCTCAGATACTGAAGTCCATGAAGACACATGTGTCTTATATTACAGTAAATGCCATACTCTTTGGTGTTCCACATAGATGTAATTTTTTTCCTGAGTATTTTCAACCCACAGTCAGTTGTCTCCATAACTCAGAACCCATGGATATGGGGGGCTGACAGTACTACACTTAGCTAAGATTAATCAATACACTCTGCTGGATCAGAGTGAAGAGTTCCTTTGCCTGACTATGTGGTGGGCGCAGGGGCACCTAGACAGAAGTCAAAGCTCTCCTAGCAAGGAAGAAGCATGTGAACAGGTGTGTGTACACGTGCAAGTGTGATCCCTTGGAGAGACAAAGGAGAAGGCTGCTTGCAGCGTCTCCCTGAGAGCAACGGAAAGGGAGAACATTTTCACTGAGTTACACAAATAAAAAGCTTGCACTGAGCTCTCCAAGGCAGTCTTTTGCAATTTGTCTTAGTCACTTTTTCATTGCAGGGACAAAATACCAAATGCCTGCAACTTGAAGGAGGAGAGGTTTATTTGGGGTCATGTTTCTTAGAGTTTTCAGCCTGTAGCCAGCTGACCCCGTGACGCAGAAGTGGAATGGCAAAGAGGTGTAATGGACGAAAACTGCTCACATAACACCAGTCAGAAAACAGAGACGAGGAGGAGCTTGGAGGAGGACAGAGCCCTGGTGACCTACCTCTTCCAGCCAGCCTCCACCTCCTAATAGCAGAATTGGTTCTGAACCCATCAGTGGATTAATCCAGTAATGAGTATAGAAACCCCATGATCCGCTCATCTATCCAGAGCTCAGTCTCTGAAGACATAAGGCTGTTGGGAGAGACACTAGATCTATACCTCAGGCATCCCTTTGGTCTGGAACCCACTTTCTTGCTGCATGGTCTGAATCAGGTCTAGCTCCAGCATGACCTCTTCCATGACCACTGTGAGCTGCCTGTCTCCCCAGCCCCCTAGATCTTTATATCTTGAATTGTTTTGAACATGGAATGCTCTACATACAATTGTTTAAAAAGATAAATACCTATCAACACCATGGAACACAGTTTAGGAAATGCTCATGTTCATCAATTCATTCAGTGGTGAGTTATTATTTAAAAGAAAGAAAAAAACTCACAAAGACTGTTTTGGGAAAACAACACTTCCTTCTAAATATTCCCATACTTTTAGTTCCTACCTCACAAAACTGATTTCTGTCTTCCATTAGACACTAGAAAAACAATCCCCACAGCTCCCCAAGGAGCGTCACTGTGGCCATTCAGTGGCTGTGCTTCTAGGCGGTGTCAGGCATGATGGAGCCCATCCCTGCTCACGCAGACAGGGATGGGCAGGAGCAGCCTAATACTAACCAGGACTGCTCTCCTGCAAGGAATGTGGCAGGGAGCCCAGGATTAAGGACATAAATAAGCTTCAGGTTTTCAGAAACCTGCCAGCAGCCCTCTGAAACAGGAAGAGGATACTTAGAGCTGTCCTGCTAATACTCAGCTGTGGATCTTAGGTTCATGCTTGGTCTGAGGTTCTCTGGCTTCTGTGCTCCTTGCAGCCCTGGAACTGACCAGTCCCAGCCACCAGGGTAAGAAGCTGCTACCTGAGAAACCAGATGGCATGGAGGGAAAAATTCTAGATTTGTTATCCATTTGCTAGAGCAGAGAGGATTATAAATGTCATTCCTTCTATGGGGGATGGAATATCAGACCCATCAGACTACCAGGAAAACTGAAAACAAACAAATAAACAAAAAGAAAGGGCTTAGGATAAGGGGATTAGCTCAGGGCCAGGCCATTCTGGAGGGGTTGGGTGGCTGCTCCCATGCCCCCCGCGTTCTGGGTCCACACTTGACTAGGACTTAGAACTACACTGCTCACATATAGAAGGTACTGAAACTAGTCTTTAAAACTCTGCTGCATTCAAACTAGGCACTAGGGTTCTTCACTTTAGATCAGAGTAAAAAGTCATTCTGGTTGCATGTAACGAATACAGCTAAAACAGAATTCTCTTGTAAAAACAAATGATAAAGGTGCAAGTCTCAGTTAATGGCTTGCTCATATCAAGAAGGATTTGGTATCAATGGGCTAGGGGTCCTTTCTTGGAGTTTGTGATGATGAGCATCAAGCCAAGGGTTAGCACT